GACACCGCCCCGCGGTGTAAAAGGTGGCAGGAATGGGGAATGCCGAGTGGTCGCCGGCTCCCGGAGCTCTCCTTCCCTGTGCCCGCCTGGCGTGGCCCTGTTGACTCCAGAGGGACCGTGGGCAGCGCTGGCTGAGCGGGGAAACCCGACAGAGCCATTGCCTTGAGCTCGGGGAACGAGCTCCGGTGCTTCTTACAAAATCTGAACCTTGTGCGTGCCTGTGGGGTTTTGGGTTTTTGTTGTGAGCGTGGGAAGGGGGAGGGGGGGGATTGTTTGGGGTTTTTTTTGAGGGCGTGAAACATGGAATAAGCAAGAAAGCTTCGCTGCTTCTGCTTTTCTCCAGCACAGAATTCAGCTCCAGCTATTGCCAGCTCCAAATCCTGATACTACTTACAGTTCCTTGGGTTACTGCTCATGTTTTTGGAACACATGCTTTTACTCTAAAAATGCCGGTGTGCAACTAAGTTCTTTGAAATCACGTGTTCTTTTTGTCATGGAAACTCAAGTTCCTTCTGCTTTTTGGCTTTGTCAGCTAGGATATGGTAAGCTGGAGAGCGAAGATGAAGGATGTGCTCCAGCTTCTGACACTGCCGTTGCCTGTGCCTGTTCCCCAGGCAGGAGCAGTTCCCAAACACATACAGAGCACCCAAAGGCACAGCAGACACTGAAATTAACATTTAGCTTGTACAGTCTGAGGATTCTTTGTTTTAGGAAAAGGGAGAGATGTGCATCTCCTAAGCACTAGCCTGAGTTTGCAGTAATAAGTACATGATTGAGAATTGCTGAGAGTCATAATTATTGCTTTGAAGTGAAAAGGCCTACATGTCATGTTAAAGGTAATGCAGATATGCAGTTAACATGGGCTTAAAACTAGGTTTGAAATCCCGATTTTCTGTTCTGTCATAGACTGCAGTGGTTTGGTAATCCAAAAAATCACCCTGTTGGATTCAGAAGTGAACAGAATTAACTGAAGTTCTCATGTTTTCATTTAAATCACCTAAATACTTTAAAGTTTATACAGCTTGTTTTGACTGTCAGTTTAAATTACTTCTTTTAATGAAATACAGGTGGGAAAACCCAAACTTGCCCATGCACTCATATCCTCATCTGGACACTGACGGAGAAAAGATCAGTTTTGTTAAATTGAGGTAAATTGAGGTAGCCTTCTCAAATAATTTTGTTTGCTTAAAATCAGGTCCTTGTGGAGATTTATTAGAGCCCGCCAGTTTGCTTGCTATAAACGTATTCCCTGTTCCTGCTTTTCCAGTTCTTGCCTTCATTTTACAGTTTCGTAAGAATCCTTGTGACAGCCGAATGTTGTTCAGTTTTGTGACCCAGAGCAGGTGTTAGTGTCACACAGGGCAGGAAGGCTTCCTTCGGCAGTGTCTGGCTTAGGAACATAATCATAGGAACAGCCTCTCCACAGCAAGGATTTCCACCCAGGCCTGCTCAGCTTTGGCTTCTCACTGATAACTGACAGGGCTTATTCAGGGTGATTCTGAACCGTCTGCTTTTTAGTTGTAGGGCAGTGGAGAGCCTTCAGGGCATGATCATTTCCAGCCCTGTGACTGAATCACGGTTTGATTTGGTGGGAAGGGACTGCACCTCCTTCCTGAGCACACGGTCAGCATCCTCAGGCTGCTCAGAGCTTTGTCCTGTCAGGTCCTGAAAACTTCCAAGAATGGAAAATGCACAGCTTCTCTGAACACTCCTCCTGTAGTGCAGGAATGTCCTCAGGGGAAACGTTTCTCTTTGTATCCAGTCTGAACCTCCAGTTTCACTTTATGACCATTGTGTCTCTTTCTTCTGCCGTCTGGAAAGTTTCATCCCTGGAAAGAGCCTAGCTTCTTGTAGGTACTGGAAAGTTATCTTCAAAGCCTTCTCTTCCCTGGGCTGAGCAAGCTCATTTTCTTCCTCTCCTCACAGCACAAGTGCTCCAGCCGTCCTGGTGTACTCGTGGAGTGCTCCTGGTGACCCTTCACTGAGATCACTACGGTTTATTGATGTCTGCCTTGTACTGGGGACCAAGAACTGGACGCAGGATTCCACATTTTCTAACAAGGGCCAAGTAAAGGGCAATAATCACTTGCTTGTCTTCTGGCTAGGCTCCTGCTTATGCAGCCCTGTATGCCATTAACTTTGGTAACACCAGGACTCCCAGATACAGACTGAGACCAAGAACCAGGTCTTTGGGAGAGTATTTCTGTCTGGGATCTCCCTCTCCACACTGACTCAGGATGCTCGTTTGTCACATGCTGTGGTGACTCACTGCCACATGTGATAACACCCTGAAAAGCTTGCAGCTGCAGGACTGAGCTGTCTGCATCCAGGGCCCAGTGTTCAGCTTGCTGGTGGAAAAACAAAATGTGCTGAGCTGGGCTGATTTAGTGACCTCAGAAACCAAAGTTGCACAGTGCCTAAAGGATTGCTAAAGGAGCACAGAACCGGATAGGGTCAGCAGGAGACTTATATCTGCCTTGCTGCTTAAAATTTGTAAAAGAATCTCTAGTGATGAAAACTGAAACCACTTGCTCCAGCCTCTGACTCAGGAGAAAGGGAGGAGGCAGGACTGAATCATGGTGCTTTCTGGGGCTGTGCCCTTTAGTGCATCTTAGAATGTGACATACTGATCATAACCTGGAGGAAGTGTAGAGGTATGGCCTCTGAGAGAAGATAAAAAGCATGGACACAGCTTGCAGGGACAGGATGGTCCAGAAAAGCCACCAGAGTTCTGGAAGTTGGAGAGGTGGGAGAACATACCCTGTTGAAGGAATTGTTGTTTCTGTTCCTGCTTCATCTACAGCACCTGAGCAATAGCAAGTTGGCACTTTTTTTCTCCCCAAGGAAGCATGTGGGATTTAGGCAATAGTGCAGATGTATCTATTTTCCTTGAATTTAGGAAGAAGGAGAATACACCATATAGCTGGAGGATCAACCTGTTGTTGGTACCACTGCCCTGGGAGTGAAGGGAGGGCTGTGCAATGATGCAGTGCAGGAGGTGCAGCCTGGAGCAGGCAAGGACTTGCAAGCAAAGACTCCAAGACAAACTCATCTTACCCTGCAAAACAAAGGCTCAAGTCTTCTGCTTTCCTGACCAAGAATTTTCCATATAGCCACAATGTGCTAGACTGCCCAGTGCAGGAGAGAAGAGCTGCATCTCAGGAGTTCATGGCTCCCTCTAGGGTATGGATGGGTTATTATGACTTCTTGAGCACTGTTTTGCAGTTTGAAAACACAGATTCCAGCAGGCATGCTGAAAGAACTCTCAAGTGTTGTCCAGATTCAGTGTGAGCCTGTAGTGACTGACACCCACCTCGGTCTCAGCTTTGCCACCTCCCTAGATTCCGGGTCTGTTTTCACACAAAACTTAACATGATTCATTTTGGTCTTTTAATGTCCTGGAAAAGCAAAAAACTCTGTGTCTGGGAATTCAGCAGCAGTGAACTGTAAGCCTTAAGTTCTGAATACTTGAATCTTGCATCAGTCTTAAAGAACCTATTGTTTCCTTAAGGTAAAAGCTCAGCTAGAAGAAAAAGAAGGGAAAACCTTTGATGTCTTCACTGCAGTGGAGTTTAAAACTCAGGTGGTTGCTGGAACAAACTACTTCATCAAGGTAGAGGATGCTGGATTGTTTCTTTTACATTAATATATATAATATTTGGAATGGGGGGTTTTTTTCCTCTTAGCTGGAGGAGAATGCTTATGATTTGAGCATCAGAAAAAAAATTGTACAATAAAAAGCCACAAATATCCACCTCCCAGTCCCTCTCCCTATTTGCTAGAGATCCTCTTTTCTCCATTTTCATGGGAAGATTAGGTCACATTTCTGCAAAGTCACAGCTCCTAGTCTGGTTTAAAACAAACCAATGTTTTTTCTTACTGCCTATCTGCTGCTCCACCCTCAAACCAGCCCAGCCTCTGCCACCCCTCCTGCTGCAGGCTGCTCACCCTGCAGGGATCTCACTGGGTTTCGTGCTTTGCAGGTCCATGTTGGGAATGAGGAGTTCATGCACCTGCGGGTGTTCAAGAGCCTCCCCCACGAGAACGAGCAGCTGAGCCTCCACAGTTACCAGGGCAGCAAGGCAAAGCACGATGAACTGGCTTACTTCTAGCAACCTTCTCTGCTGTGTTTCCCTAGTTGGTTCTTATGTGCATTTCCTACAGGCTGCAAAATGTTGATTCCTGTGCCAACAAAAGCAGAAAAAAAAGTGTCTTTTTTATCATAGGGAAAAAATAAATTTCTTTTATGCCATTCCCTTCCTTTGCAATCTCCAAATCTGAGAATCACAGGGTTTTCCTATTACCTGCACTAATGTAAACCCTACTTTTATTGCAACTTTACTTGGCTTTAGTGCATCTTAACCAGAATACTGTGGCTAAGTCCTGTTTTTGAACATCCTTGGTCTGGAAATTGGAAGGGGAATGGCACCAGCACTCATATATTTGCAGCAAGGAGCAAGAAGAAAACCTCAGTCTTTTCGGTTCTGTTTTGCAACTGTGAATATATGTGATTTAAACATCTAGATTTAAACTGTACTTCGTATTTTATGGGCAAAGACCTGATGAGAGACTCGAATTGAAGCAGTTTTGCAAGGAAGAGAAAGAGGCTTACAGTAGTTTGAAACAAACATTCCCTTGGTAATCATGCTCATCCTCTTGCAGCAGTAGCATGTAATGTCCCGTAGAGGGTGTGTGAGTTTAAAATACCAAACCAGCTTGCTTATGTTCTTGGTCCTATGGAAAAGTCCAGGAAAGGAACTTAAGCAGGACAAGCATTTCTGCATTTATAATAATAAACATTTCTTTTGACTTGAAATGGTATCTTTGACTGGTGCTTTAGTGTTCTAGTCTCTCATTTTTACTATTGATTATTATCTTGCTCAGCTTTTTTTCCTTAAGTGTTTTTTATATTCCAGAAAACCTTATGTTTATTCTATGTCTTAATTATAAATACTTTATTTTAATCTTGTGGCAAGACATGAAAGATAACAAGAAAGCCCTCTGCAGGTATGTCAGCAGCAAAAGGAAAATATGGACAATAGCTTTCCAAATTTATTTTATTTACTATCACAGGCAGAACCCCCATAGGATTTGCAGAGGTGAGGCACTGCACTTCATCAGGTCTTAGAAGTAGGTCAGAGGGTCATCTCTGGTTTTGCCAGTCTGAAAACTGACAAGGCTGGGACCTTGGTTCTCTTGAGGAAGACTCTGAAACACCTTTAGATGGACATATTCAGCATTGGAAACTTGGACCTAGAAACCAAAAGAGTGGGGAAGTAAGGATCATGAACTCAAAGCAGGTTCAAACAAAAGGCTGTTCTTTACATTCTTGAAAGAATATCTTTGCTCAGGACCTTAATTTTAGATGTACCTTCATTTTTGCTTCAACAGCTCTTATCCATGTCTGCATAGTAACTGATGGCAGGAACTGTCTACACCTGTAGAAAACTGTATTAAAAACCCTCAGACTCTGGTGAAGGGAAAATGAGCAGAACGGCTTGGGTGTGGAAGCCCCAGAAGATGCAACAGGAGAAAGGTTTTGTTGGTGTCCTATTTCAGTCACCAAGATGCCAGTACATTTGCTCACAGCTTCCTGGCACACTCGTGGGAGACAAAAGACAATGAGGAAACCTCCATGACTTTGGGATGGGACACAGTGCAGACACCATGTCAGCTCTCAAAGGGTACAGAAAGATCTAATATAGAAGGACCAGCACATGGTCCTGAGAAGCAATGACAACCTGAAAGCCAGGATCCCTGGTCTGCAGAGTTACTCCAAACACATCCCTGTCTGAACAGGGAACCTGACACATCCTGGTGCTTTTGGGAGAGCCTGGAATAAATACTCATCAAAGAAATTTACCCTCCCTCCTAGCAACTCCTCACATGAAGCCTTGGTAGGAAGCTGTAAAATTTCATTCTTACAGAGCTAAGCACAACAGGTGCTAAACTTTCCCTCAGTGAGGAACATGGAAACTTTAATGCCTTAGGCTCCAAGAGGTTTCTACATGCTTTCTGGTGGTTGCAGTGTGCTGCTATGGTTGGTCTGAGTTGCATCTCAGCTATAAGTCTGCTGGTAAAATGTCAGTGAGGTGGAAGACTCAGAAATATTAAAGAATGAGTCTTGTGGTGGCAGAGTTTGTTCCAGTTAATGCTAAAATGAGGAACTGTTATCCACCACTGGTAAAATTGGGAAAGAAGAGATAAATCATCCTTTTCTAGTGTTACAAATTGATTTCTTCCACATTCAGTAATACATCAATCTTCATTTCTGAGTTAAGAGTTCTTTTAAAGAAGCACCTGGGAAAGAAGAATGTTTGGCAAGCCTCTGTCCTTCTGGGCTCAACTAAGTATGAGAAGTGTGGAGCTAATGCTCACAGTGTCTCTCTCTGCAGAATTATCTCCCCCAAACATTACAGGCCAATTTCTCTAATAAAAGAATTCTTCCAATTCTATTGCCAATGGGGCACACCCTGCCAGGCACATGTCCATGCACACGTGGGGTTTCAGCAGTCACAAGCCATGCCTGCTCTGCTCCAGAAGGCCAGTTTGCTGTTCAGCAGTGCTTGCTGGCCTTCAGATGAAAAATACACCCAGCCATTTCTTCTGTGATATTTCACAGAAAGCTGCTCACATCCATCTGAGTTTCCAGTAAAGGAGGAACGGTGCTATCAGAGGGCTCCAAATTAAGCATTACCCATTTTTCCTCTGCAGCATAGAGGGGGTTTTGAAAACACAGAAAGAACCAGCAGGCAGGCTGTACCTCTGCAGCACCTGACACAGAACCAAAACATCAACACAGCTGCTTGCATGCAAAACTAGTCAGCAGACATGCATGCACTGCATCACAAAATTGACTCTTATCTCTCTATCAGTTCCTCAAGCTGAATTCAATTTCATCCCAACAAACACAACTGAAGGACTTGGACACTATTTTGCCTTGAAAGGAAACAGGAGACCAGTTATGACTTGTTGAAATAATTTGAGTTGGGAAGGCAGTTTACAGTCCTTGAGGGGGATAATCCCAAGAAGCTTACCAGTCACATCTGAATAAGCACAGGGCATGTTTTATTGCTTGCAGTAGTGCCAAACAGAGGAATTTTATAAGCATTTGGAGGTAGTCCCAACTTCTCTTGTATCAGACAGTTTCCTGTGATATTTGCTTCTCTTTCTAGCTGTAAGCCACTCTGCAAGTCACCTGTATCATTTAATTCCAAAACACTCCCTCATACAATATATACAAACCTTAATAAAGTACATTGTCCCAGCAACCACTTGAGTCTTATATACTATGGCTGTAAAGGCAGCACAGTTTGTGTTTGCCCGGCTTTCGAACTGTGACTTCACCTGCAAAAAGAAAGGGAAGAACGATTGGCAGGTTGATATTTAGGGATTTCTTTCACATACACCACTCCAATTTTCATCTTTTCAAACTTACTCCCTTAATGAAAATCCTCCACAAAGTGACTACAGACACCTTCAAACCCCTTGTCCAGATAATCAGTAAAGATACTAAACAGGACTGGCCCCAACACTGAGCTCTGGCTGCAGCACTTCTGACCAGCCAGATATAACTTCATTCACCACCGCTCCCTGGGCCCAGCCATCCAGCTGGTTTTTTCACCAGTGAGCAGTGCACCTGCCCAGGCTTCTTCAGTAGAATGCTGCAGGAATTGGTGTCAGAGGCTCTACTAAGGTCCAGGGAGACAACATCCACAGCCTTTCCCTCATCCACGAGGCGGGTCATGGAAAGAGATCAGGTTGGTCAAGCAAAACCCGCCTTGCATGAACCTATCCTGGCTGGGCTTGACTCCCTGCTTGCCCTGCACATGCTGTGCAATGGCACTCAGGATGAGCTGTTCCATGACCTTCCTTGGCACTGAGGTCAGCCTGACAGGTCTGTAGCTCCCTGGATCCTCCTTCCTGCCATTCTTCCAGATGTTCTTTTAGAGGGGCATCAAATTAGCCAAACTCCAGCTGTGTGACACCTCCCTGGTTCATCAGGACCACTTAATAAAGTAAATCATGGACAGTGCCTTGGAGAGCTCTTCCATGAGCTCCCTGAGTACCCTTAGGTGGATTCTACCCAGCCCCATTGATTTACTCGTGTTTAAGTGCAGAAGCAGGTCACTGTTTCCTGCTGGATTGTGGGAGCTTCATTGTGGTCCTTGTCTCTGTCTTCTAGCTCAGGGAGCTGGTACCCTTAGGAGAACTGGTCAGACTATAAATAATTCAGGTTAAGAAGGCTTTAAGTACCTCAGCCTTTTCTTTCTTTTTTTGTGGCAGTGCTTGCCCCAACATCCAGCAAATGATGGAGATTCTCCTTAGCCCTCTTTTCATTCCTGATGTATTCATAAGAACACTTTTTGTCACTGCTTCTGACAGTGGCCAGAGTTAAGTTCTAACAGGAGTTTTGTCTTTCGGACTTTCTGCATAACCTCACAGCTTTGTAATCCTCCTGAGTTGCCTGTCCCATCTTCCAAAGCTTATAAACTCTATTTTTACCCTGGGTTCCTGCCAAAACCTTCTATTCAGCCAGTCCAGTCTTCTTCCCCACCAGCTTGTCTTTTGGCACATAGGGACACCTTGTTCCTGCACCTTTATGATTTCCTTCTTGAAGAATGCCCAGCCTTTCTGGATCTCTTTGCCCTTCAGGACTGCCTCCCAAGGGACTCTTTCAAGCAGCTGACAAATAAGCCAAAGTCTTCCCTCTGAGTCCAAGACAGCAGTTTTGCTGTTGCCCTTCCTTACTTCTCCAAGAACTAAAAACTCTCCCATTTCATGATCACTGCATCACCACCACACAGAAAGCAGAGACAATCTTTCCTAGGCTGGGTGACGTGGTGCCCCTCTGCACATGACACCCACGCTGATGACCAGATGCGTTACTGAGTTTGGGCAGAGGAGCAGTGTCAGTGTCAGCCTGCTCATGCCCTAGGCAGGGCCAGCAGTACCTCAGTGCTTCTCACCACCCACCTGTTTCACAGGAACGCACTGAATTAATTTACTTTCCCAGCACAAGCACCTACAGCTAGCTGCCACTCCCATGACATTCCTTCCTAGCAGGAAGGTCACAGAGAGCACCCAAGGAACATCCAGATCGTTTACAGACAGCCAGAAATTATTATCCTGTTCAGCTTCCTCATGATCTCTTACTCAGAGCTGCTCAGCTCTTCTGCTGAGCAGCTTCTATCGCCAGGAACTGACAGTGATACTTTCAGCTGAGGAGCTGCTAACTCAGGCAAACCAAGGAAATTTTAATTCCCAACACCCTTCCATCTGACTGGGGCAGGGGCCTCCTAGAATGCTCCCAAGTGGCAACTTTTGGTGCATCATATTCCCCTCTCAGAACAAAACAAAACAAAGCCACTTCTCTCCAGTTTTGCTCTCTCCTCTGACCACTGTGTCCCCTATTTATTTACAGACTGAGTTTTCAGTAAAATCAACCAGCCAAACAGCTCCTTAATCCTCAGGTGAAAAAACAGAACATTCCTAAGCTCTTACCTAACCACATCCTAAACCCAAAACATTCCCCAGTTTTGGGCAACAACTGCAAAACAAGGAGACTAAATAAATAACATTCTTCAGCTCACTAATGATGGCTAGAGACAAAGCACAGGTATAAGTAAATAATTACATAATCCCAGGAGCAGACAGACCTTGCACATCCCAAGCTCTGCAGAAGATCTTCACAACTTCACTGGAATCATAGGAATTGCTTCTCTGCCTAGCAGAGCATAAAAGCCCAAAGAATTGCTTCATGAAAGGGTGACACTTAGGCTGGAAGGATAGCAGGATTTCCCCAACATAAGGTTTCCATAAGAATATTTTCCTTAGAGAATTATAGCAAAGCTTCTGCAGGGGGGAAAAGGACCAGGAAGCATTCTCTCTCCTGCTCTCAGCACAGTGCAGAAATGTCACCTTGCAGAAAATAAAATAGCAAAGAACAATCTCTTTTCATTTTCCTGAAGCTACTGAGAACAAAAGAACACTAAAATTAGGATCAGTCCTTTTCTGGAATCAAACAAAAACTTTGTGCTATGCACATTTCAGATCCTACATGTGCCCTGTACTCTGGGAGCATTAGCACTGCCTGAAACCAGCATTCACATTTTCAAGTGCCTGTTTGCTCACCAACTCAGGTGCTGTGGTTTCACCTCCAATACACACTGCATGACTTCTGATGACCCATAAATAACACAGCCCAGCATTGAAAACGAAGCTCAGTATCTGGCATGGTGCTTGAGGCATTTCACAAACTCAATTAAATTTCACAGCCTCAGCTGGCCCCATCTTAAACATGAGGAAGCAAGAATGGCAAATGTGACTGACCAGTAAAGCCCTGCAATGGAAGAAGGCTCAGAGGAGCTGGGGAGGTGACGTGCTATGCATGAAATCCAGGGAATAAAGCAGGGTGTGACTGACCACAGCTTTGCAAATAAGTTGATTTTATCTCAGCACAAAGGTTGACCACAGGGTGTTTCTGATAAATAGCTCTGTCAGTGGAGGGGATCATGTGGTGGTGTAATTCTCCGACTTCAATCAAAGAAAGAGAACACACCCCTGAGTTAGCCAGACCAGCGTGGGGGGAGTGAGCACATGGTTCTGTCCAATCCTGAGTATAAAAACTAAATGGTTGGACAAAAGAATTTTGAAGAAAACCGCTAGCTACAGCTGACTTCAACCCACATCCCCCTTTCCAGTCACTGACGATGCCCAGTGTTCTGACAGAGCATGCTGTACAGACCAGGAGTGCAGAACACACTGGTATCCTCAGGGAACCGGGACTGCAGTCAATACATTTTGCTAAGAGTAACTTAGACCTGTATCAAGTTACCAGTATATTTGTATCACTTTGCTAAATCAGCCTCCTCCTGTAACTCGGAGCATCTTCTGTCAGTAAAATGGATGTTAAACCTTATCCCCTCCACCTGTGCACTACAGAAAAGAGCCATGACAGAGTACTGGGCTGCCTGGTCACAGCTTGCAGATCACAGAAGACACGGAAGGATGCTGGTGCAAACTCTGTCCTCGGTGGCACAGCAAAGGAGAGAGCTGGGAGCCCTGCACATCAGGAATAGCGAGTGTGCAGCTGTATTGGCCAATGCATTCAGCCCTGCTACTTCCTATTTTTGTTTCTTCTTTGAGGAGTGCCTGAGTGCAATTGCCAAAGGGAGAAGAGCTCATCTTCCAGAGCCAGAAGGGTAAAGACTATTGGGTGGGTGGGAATGTAAGATGGCATGATTGTCTCCTTTCATTCCTCAGGATGCATTTTATACTTTTCTTTAAAAAGAGCTGCTGCACTGCAGGGCATTAGAGGATCTGCAGAGGTACTGCTTCCACAGCTGCTCCAGGACGGGACCACTGCCTGTATCAAATCACCTGGCAACTGGGCTCACTCACTGGCCTGCCTTGTGCCAAGCTCACCTTGGCCCACCAGCAGCCCCTGTATCACAGCTGTGACTCTAGAAAACACTTAATGCCAGCAGGGAACACACAATTTAAAAATAGCTTTGTCCTGCACATATAATTCTTTACTGCATACTAGCATGTGGTTTGTCCTATGCAGTCCTTCACTGAGGAGTGAATTCTACCAGGTACAACTTTTTCCCTTCCAATATGTCACCTCTCATTACAAACAAGTGACCTCACTGCTGGCATAGCAGAGCTGGGCTTGGAACTTCACACAGACATTCACTGAAGGTAGGCAGTACCATGCCTGGCCATGGGCAAGGAGGAGACAGAGAAGTGGTTTGTCTCAGTCGTACCAAGCCATTTCCTACACAGAATGATGAGAAAACACTGCCAATCAAGGGGATTCCCATTTTCAGCATGAGCTTCTTCAGTTTAAAACCTGGCTTAGTCTCCCAGGCTTTACACAAGCTTGAGGAATGGCCTCTTTGCACACAAGTAAATTAGTTTAGAGACAGGGTGAACTCACCTGGTTAACAAGCTGCTGAACTTCTGGTGTAGCTGGCTTGGTGTCAGATAAGCCCCCAGGCATCATGGTGGCAGGTGAGTTCTCTGAAATGATGAGTGGCTCTGAAGAGGGAAGTTCAGCGCAGTCTGAGCAGAGTCCCCAAGCATCTCACATATATACACACACACATGTCATGGAATCATGTGACCTGCAACACATGGAGCCTACCATTACTGAACTGGAGAAGGAGACAAACAGGGACGAGGAGGGGAAAAGCAATGTAAAGCACAGGTGATATTATTAACAAATGTAAAAAGCACTTAAAGAAATGCTTATTGTCTGCACATCAAAATGAAAAGCAAACAGCCTCCAGCCACCCACATCTTAAAGAGAATTGGTTTGGGCTGCAGCTGGAGCCTCTTGCCTCTCCACCCATGTGCAGATGACTAGGCTGAGCTCTTGGGAAACTGATCAAAGATACACCCAGTATTTCCCAACACCTTTCCTGATCAGAGGAAAGGATGTAGCACTTTCCTTAGCGTAAGTCTCATTTAACTTGAATTTTATTCTCTCAATGTCCTTCTAAGTGGGGAAAGGGGAGTAGACGGCATCTTACATTCAGTGACTTGACTTCCCTCTGCCTGACTGAAAAGGTGCCAAGGTAAACACCAGCACCAGAAGTAGAAAATAATTAAATCCCAGATTCAGGTAAGTACTGCAAATAAGGCATTTCTGCTTCTTTTCCATCAAACCAAGAACTGCATTCAGGCAACCATAATAGCAACTGAATGTGCAACAAAATCTACTTTTCAACTCTAGTGCCAATTTCCTGAAAGACAAAGTACAATCAAAAAACACAAAAGCTGTCCCAATTTCAGCATATGCTGCTGAAACACATAACATGAGAACACACAGTCAGAAGTATTCATTCTGCAGTTACAGTCACGTGGCACAGTCACATTCACAAATGTGAACCTACAAAGCTCAGAACCTACTGGGGGAAGGCTAACAACTGCTAGCAGCCCTCCCTGGTAAGGGAGAACTAACATTTCAAGACCACAGAAAAAATTCCTGCCATCCCCCTCACCAGCAAATAAGAGGAATATTGTTCCAGAGTGAAGACCAGCGACACAGCAACACACCAGAGACATTTTAGTCTGTAGGGGCAGGTACATGGGAGCAGGTGAAATGAGAGTATGTGCTGCACACAGGCAATGGGCATTTCTGTGGGCATCAGCATTAGGGAATTTGCTAGGAACAGGTAGGTTTATGGCCACAGCAACAAACTTCATCTGTGTCCTACCCATACTGCTGACCTTCCTCCTCACAGATAACAAGTGATGCAAGACACTGTAAAAAAGTACTTCAGGTCTGACTTCAAGGCCTGGTTTTGGTACAAAGCCCTTGAGATTGAGAAACTTGGGCTGTAGGGGGCCTACATGCATTGATGAGCATTTCAGCACATTACTGAAAAAAGATAATGCAGAATTTTCCAAACTTGAGCAGCAGTGCTATGAAGTGGACAAAAGGCATTTGAGGAAAAATCATTGTCCTGAGACAACATTTTTGTGAACGGAGAGAAAAATCCTTCCAGTTCTTAGGAATAAAGGGAGTGGCAGTTGTTAAAACTGGAATTCTGCCACTTGTACCAACTTCTCCCCAGATGAGGAGTTCCTCACAGCCCTATTCATGGAGCTGATGACAATTCAAACCTTCTTTTGCGTAAGACCCTGCTGATTCACTCAAATGCTGATCACGTTCAATCACTTGTGCCTTATTCACACAGCAGGACAGATAAGTTAAGGAACTGGAAGAGCCAGCTCACCTTACTGAGGCCAGAAATCAGAAATCACCAGTGCTAAACCAGGATATTTTATAAACCTGTCCACTAACAAGGATACAGATCCTGCTGCCTTCCTTGGGAAAGGATGTTAAGGTCTCCAGGTCAGCAGTACACTACTGGAGAACTCTAGATTCTGTCTAGCAACAAATACACTGAGCACAAAGTCTAGGTGGGTTCATTTATAATCTTGGAAAGACTGTAGGTGTGAAACAAAAGATATTAATGTTGTGTGGAAATCATTCACTGGACTCCATATTTCTGGCTTTGCTGGTTTTTGACTTTAAAGCATACCACTTTTTTTTTTTTTTTTCTCCAGAATGCACAGTTGTGCAGGAGGGAAAAAAAATCAAGACTAATTGTCAGCAAGTTGATGCTGAAGAGGCAAATAATACTGTTTCCTTTCCACAGCAGTGCTGATGGTTGTCCCAAAATCCAGTGATATTTCTAAGACTGGGATGAAGTACTCATCCTGCACAAGCATTTAATGAAGCTACTTTGAAGTGCTGACATTTCACAGACCTGTGATCAAAGATGATCAGAGGCAACTGATCAACCTTATCTTGGGCAACCCCCACCTCCACCCACCCCTGTCTAAACTAAGTCTTGGATGTAATGAACCAGATTTGGAACACTGCCATGAAAAGAACAGCTGGCCCCAGGCCCTCTCTTGCACAACAAGGTGAGTGTGCCCCTGTAGTGTTTGAGACATGGCTGGTATCACGTACCAGGCCAGCCTACGCTCTCGATCAGCACAGCTGGCAGCTTCCCCTCAAGTCACTGTGCTGCTGTTATCTGGGAGAATCTCTGCTGGGATGCCACCACTGGCATTCTGTACAGCTTTGAAGCTGAGTAGCATCTTGCACCATGTACTATTCCAACACAGAAGAAACAGATCTTTACTGCTTGCAGGCCACTACTCCCCGGTCCTGTTTAAGCAATTTTAAGATGTACAAGCCATTGTTGATAAAAACACCAGCACAAAATAAAATATTTTAAAAACCTCCATGAAAATCTAAACCCCAGGGTTATGTATTTACAAGTAATTTTTAAACTAGGAATGAAGTCAGCTCTGTAGAAATGATTGTGAAAGCCAAGTCAGTAAAGGTCAGTCTTCTGGTTTCACAGTGACAAGACACATAATTGTGACTGGACATGACACTTGGTCTGAATGTCTTTAAGAACTTTTACAGGAAATCAGCCCTCTGTGTATCAGGTGAAGATCTGTTTTCATTGTCACAGGAACAATAGCCTTGATTTTCAACATGCTGGTCTGCAAAAAAGAGTTTCCCTCCTGCTACCCATCCTGAGTTTGAAAGATTTCTGACACTGTACATGAACAAGGATCAACACAAACCTGACCTTCAGCCGCACAAAGTTATCATAGCCCAGCCTATGCTGAGCCTCTTCCTCTCAGTCTACTTCAAGACAACTACTACACATCTACTGTTAAAAATATTCTATAAAGAAATTACCTCTTTCATCAGTCTTTCATGCCTACAGGTTGCAGAAGACAACAGCACTGAATGCTAGAAAAAGAACACTTCTTTCTATTTCACAGAAGGAAAGACGCACAAACTTGAGAGGGCTTTCCAAGCAAACGGGATCTGCCCACCTCTATTCACTACTTGCAAGCAATGGGAAAGCCCAAGTAGAGGAGGCAAGGCTCCCACAGGACTCTGGACAAGGCCATCAGCTGTGCTCAAGTGCCTTTACTTGCAGAAATCGAAGTTAAAACCAGGGAAAGGATGAAATCCTGCTCTTTGTAGAATCCACTATTTGACCCCAGCAAACAGCCCGGTAATTTTGTAACTACCTCAATTGGTAACGTTGAAGCAAGGTTCAGCCCCTAACAAAACACAATCCTGGAATGCTCAGGTGTCCCTAGACACAGAATTTACCTGCCTGTGTTCAGTGTGGCACACAGCTCACACCATTATGAGCCATTTTTGTGCCAAAACATCCCATCCACATGCAGCTCTGAGGTACTCAGGAAACAGCAGAGCCACATTCTCCTGCCCCGTGCCCCAAGTGCAGCATGCAACTCCATTTACTCACCTTCGTGTTCCAGCCAGTGCAACAGCAACATCAAACAGCCTCTGAGCCACCTGATTTGCTGTGGACAACTGTAAGAGACAGCCCTCTGTGCTCAGAGCAAACTAAATAAAGCAATTCAGCTTCTTAGCACAACCCTCTGTATGCAAGCTGCAAACACCCCAAAAGAAGGGATGCTGGGGAATTAGGAGTCTTCTCATGGTATCAGTTTTTCATACTCAGTTTTCATACTTCATACTTTGCTTGGCCTTATATTCAAACCAAAAATAATTCTGTGTTGGGCTGATTTTGCGGGGGTTGTGGGTTTTGGGATTTTTTAACATAATTTCCTCATAACAAACGAAAAAAGAGAAAGAAAAAAAAAAAAAGGTATCACATCCATTTCACAGGTCATTTATCACAGCATCTGCTTAAGTGAAGAAGCTTTCCACAACAGCTGAGCAAACATCTGGATGGATAAAGGAAGACAATGATTAATTCTCATTACAGTCTCTAGTTTACACAAAGAAAAAATTGTATTTCAAGACTATTGATCCAAGTCTATACACACTCATAGAAGTTTCTATTGTACAACTGGCTCAAAAGAAGAATTTGTCCTTGCAGTTCATCCAAGCCCTTGAGAGAACAAATATTTTAGACACCTATACTAGAGGTCAATATTAAAGTACCAACTTTGAAATCAAAACTTACTGTTCTCAACATCTCATTAATTGACTATCATCTGCTGTTGAAATTTCATTAAAGCCAATTCAGCCCAGAGTTATGAACAGTATTTGATTTACACTTCGATGATAAACAATTATAAGAATTTAACAATTAAAGAACAAACATTTTTTGCTTTCAGAGTTGCAGAAAAGCAATGAGAAATCTTCAAGAATGAGTTCTCCAAGTCAAAGTTCTGCATAAAGCAGTTGGAGTACCTTGAGAAAAAAAAAAGAGGAAGAAAAATGAAGTTTGAACACTAGGATTTACATCCTCCAAGACTTAAAAGGTATTTCTACCTCATTCTCAGAAAAAAGTGAGACAAAATGACCCTGGTGCCTAAAAATAAAAGGCCTCCAAGCAGTTTGAGTCTCTACTGCACAAACAGCTATAAAACAGACGCTGCTACACAGATCTTTGCCAGCTCTCAGTAACACAGATACATTCCTTCATTTATTTCCCACTCCCTATATATGCAAAGCTTTAGGGATGTGAGAGTCTATCCAGTTACTTCATTACTGTTGCTGAATTCCAAAGTGTTTGCAATACAGGGCCTGTATTTTTAAGGTTCTGTTTAAGTTCACTGGTTCTTAAGATAATACCAGCTGGCCACCACACAGACCTTGTCACTTGACTGTCAGCCTATCTGAGATAAATACAAAATAAAAAGTAAAATATACAGGTGTAATTGCAGCAATTCAGCTTTCCTCCTGCTCACCTGCCTTTAAATGCTGTGTTACTGCAGGGCTGCTGCATTAAAGCTTTCTAAACACAACACCAGAGCCAGGATCAACAGGATCAGGTGTGCACAGCTGTTTCCTCAGCTCAAACACAATTCAGCTTTAGAACTAATCTTAAGATTTCAGAGTTTCAGAGGGAGGGACAAAAAAAGAGTCCCTGGACAGTCTCATTCCCAAATAAGACACATCTTCAGCTCCAACCCAAAGTGGTTTTAATCAACGCCACATTCCCTATATAAAGGAAAACTCTAGAACTTGGTAACACAGACCAAAGGACAGTAAGCAACAGATGCTGCCTGCCAGCATTGCAGGAGCAATGGCAAACCTGTACCCACACACAACTCTGAGCCACTGCTGCTCGTGTTGAGCAGTTCAGAACGAGGCTGGTAACTTCTTACTTTCAGAAATGCCAAGCCTACTACATTTGCTGATCAGTCTACAATTTTTATTTCCTTTCAGACTTCAGCAGATTACTTCCACAAAATGACCATGTTCACTGATATTTTAGCAGGCAGCAACTTAGGGAGACCTTGTCCTCCATGCTCAGGATGGATTTTACTGTTTCTTCCCCTCTGGGATCACTGAGGCTGTGGAAGTTCAAGAAAGATGCCAGTTTTGCATTCCGTTTGAAAATTGTTTTAATACTATAAAATTCATTTGTTCACATATTTTGTACAAAAGATGAGTTGTTTTCTCTTAATTACAGGAGAATCATTTCAAGCTTGAGAATTCAGCTAAGTAGGTCCAAAACAAAACAAGACTGGGTTCTACTGGCTCTGGAGGGTCCCAATTCAGCTCACCCAAAGTCTCTTTCCAGTTTGGCTCTCACAGTTATGGACCACCTTGATGGAAAATACCCCACACCATCATTGACTCTTCGGAGGCTTGTAGTGAATTCGGCACCGCTCATTAAATACCTGAGACACCAAAACAGAAGAGCAAAAGTCAATCAGCCCCATCCAGGAAATGAGCAGAGGTTCACCAACAGTTTAAGCAACTACTTCTTCATGTAGCACCCATCTCAAGCTGCCCAGCTCTGAGGTATCAATAAATGGCACTTACCAAGACATCCATCTCCATTCACCTTCTCTTCTGGCTTTAGTAAAGACAAAGTTTGCAGTTTGGAGACTGCACAGCACTAAGTGTTCTCCCTCCAATAATAAAGATTCTTAATCCTGGCAGGCTGTTATCATCAAAAAGGCTGATGCCTTTTTGTTTTTAAAGGGAGGGAAATAATCATTGGAAGGCTCCTGAATGGTTGTGTTCTGTTAGGATCACTCTGGCATTCAAATTTAGATGCTGTATTCCTGTCTTTCCTGAGCAGACACATTTTACATTGGCATGACAGCCAAGAAGAGGGACAAGGGCTCCTGGAAGCCACACTTGCAGTGATCTGCCTGCCTGTGCCAATGCTGCCAGCACTCCCTGCAAAGGGCACAGCACTCCTGCCTCACTCGCCTCTGGCACCTTCTCTGGGTAAAAATTAGCCTTCAGAACTGGATACTGAGGTTCATGTATATTTGGCTTGAATCACTGCCAGCCTGCCCTAAGGAGGGCCAATAAACGTGACTATTTAAAGTAAGGCAGTCTGAATCCAAAGCAAAACACACAGGCTCCCACCAAGGTTGCAGATGCTCTTCACAAGCCATTTAGTTATTTATCAGTTTTTATCCAAACTTGTCCAGCACAAGTCCTGAAAGCGACACAAGCACCACCTGACACCAAGCTGAGGCTCTGGCAGGTGTTGGTTGTCCCACCAGCATTCCCACAAGAACATATTTTGCCAAGCTGTCCAGGGATTTGGCAGACCCAAGTGCCTGTGATCATCAGGATATGAAGTTTCATGAACTCTCCCATTGACTTTATGTGCAAAGTGAGTGATCTTGTAGATTTGGGGAAGTTATACAACACTTTATATAAATACACTGCTTCAAGCTCTGTCTTCCTACAATCTTCTACAGCTGATCTTATTCACAGTCCAGAACCTATGGCAGCTAAGGAAAAGTGAAGCCTGGAGCACACATTAGTTACAGCATTGCTTCTCAACAATTTTGGAGTAATTTTCAACTACCTTTCAAATTTAATTTAAGAAATAGACATGTATTACAAACTGCTTCATATTGCAGAAGACAAAAGCTGTGATACAGTTTCTTGCAGCCATTATGTTACCACATGGAATAGACACCTCTGGAAGAGTTCAGATGAGGTAAAGTTTTGAGATCAGTGATAGAAGGAAACCGTAGAAATTAAGAGCAACAGCAGGTCCAATTCAGAAACATTTTACTACTAAACAAATCACACTGGTTTTTGTCCGTTGTCTGTTAATGACATTTTAATGGCATATACATCTAAAAGGGTGCTGGAAATACTCTCTAAAGCACTGCAAGAGTCTCTAGCATCAAACAACACACCAGCTTGCTTGATATCTTGCTAACTTTCAAAATATCTTCAACAGTAATTCCACAACCTGTGGCAGGAAGATCAACACTGCAGTCTTACTAACACTGCCTCCTACTTTTAGGACCATTGGCTCACAGATCTCAGTGTGTTACTCAGGCCACTAAACTCCATTGGTCTACCTGTGAAGTGCTATTCTCATTTTTCAGACATTTTTCAGAAAAAGCAATGGCTGAGAAACCTTAAAATTCATGTTACTACATGAAAGTTTGATTTTGATGGCTATTATGTATTTGTATAAACCACTCCCAACTACAACCTCCAGTATGGAGGTGCTGGACAGAGACTAATGCAAGTGTCTTGCTTGAAAATCAATTCCTTGTTTGGTATCATCCAAATTTCACTGCATGCATTTCTCTAAAGTAGCATCCTTCTGTACACCACTATTGCTACAGTCAGCCAGTGTTTAAGAAACTCTTTCCTAATCAGATTTTTCCAATTAGTTTTCAGTTGTTTAGGATTAACAGAAGTACAAATGTACTTCCCAACCAGAAGTGTACAACAGTAAAACAGCAGCCTGCACACTAATAATCATTTCCATGTAACAAATTGCATTTGTTTTTGCAATTCTATGACTGTTTCTAATTCCATTAGTGATATTTTCATGGGCATCTAAAGGAGACATTTATGTGTATATTCAGAGCATAGTATGGCGGAGCTGAAGATAAAACCCAGAAATATTTATCTCTTGAAGCCCCACTCTGATTATTGGCTGAGGAATACACTAGGAGGCTAAAGTACCCCTGCACCATGCATACCTTACTGTTTATAAACTCTCCATCTTCAGGAAAAATTAAGACAGTTCTGTCACCAGTAAAAGCTTAATGCAGCTACAAGAAACCTCTGGGATCATTACTAAATTGGGTGCTTCAGAATGAAGATTAGGGTGGGGGCTATTCCCCTATACCAGAATCACCATGAAATATTTGCCCCTAGTGACTTGCAGCATGTTCTTGTTAAGGCTGTGGCATTATTTAGTCAGATCTGAGAAGGTTTAAAATTAAACTGAAGTGCATGCTTAGCTTTTTGGGACAGTACAGAGGTGTACTGATGGCAAAGCATATGGAGAAAACTGTAAATGCTCATTTCATCAGCCTGAACTGAGGTTGCTGACAAACAGCCAGGACATAAAGCTGATTTTACACTGGTGCAATTTAGGGGACTAAAACATTGAA